GATTTTCAAACCGCTTGTATTCTCAGGTCCAAGTTAGACAGGTACCCGGTGATCTCTTTTTGGTGAAGACGGAGTGTGTGGAAGACTCACCTCAACTTTTGTTAATATGATGCATATGTATATCTTGTATAACTTTACTTTTGAAACAAATGTAAACTTTCATATATGTAATGTAATGGTTGTTTACTGTGATTACTATGTACATTGGATTTGATACACAACGTGGTAGTCCACCCCGGAAATGTTTCCGCCTTTGACTTTTGGGGTGTGACAGTTTCCTTGAGGATTCTTGTGAAGACCCTCCTTTCCTTTTGTTCCAACCTTTCCTCCTATTGTTGCTTCCCTTTTGTTGATCAGGTTGTGCAACTGTTGTGTTTAGGTAGTTTTCATGATCGATAATAGATTGTGCCAGTTCTTTAGCACTATCAAAAGTAGCAGGCCTTGAAGCTAGGACACTTGCTTGTATCTGAGGCGATAGACCCTAAATAAATTACTCTATTTTCTTGCTCTCAGGAGCAACCATATATGTGCAAAGAATTGCCAGATCACAGAATCTATTTGAATAGGTTGACACATCAGAAGCAACCATCTTAAGACCCTAGACTTCCTGCTCGAGCTTTTGAATTTCCCCTCGAGGGAAATACTCTCTCAGTAACATGGCTTTCAGGATTTCCCAGCTTATCGAGTTTTCCACAACCAAGGTCAGTGACTTAACGTGGCCATTCCACCAAGTTAAGGGCCTGTCAGAAAAGGTGCAAGTAGCAAACTTGACTTTATTGTTCTCCGTGCAGGCACAAATTTCAAAGTCTGTTTCGGTCTTTTCTATCCACTACTTCAAAATCATCACCCTCCTGTTCCATTGAAATTTTGGGGTTTCACATTCGTAAAATCCTTATAGGTGCACTCCCTGGGGTGCCCATGAGTCTCTCCATGGTTAGAAAGAGGTGTTCCAATTTCTGATCCTCTAGGGACAGGAGTATTGATTTGTGACATGGCAGTCACTATTGTCGTAGTGACAGCCACTTGGAACATAGCAGCGTCAAACTGAGGAGGTGGAGGTGGTGGTGCTTCCTCACCATTGTTACACCTGAGATTTCTACGAGGCGACATTTTTCAACTATAAGTTGAAAAGATAAAGACAATGTTAAGAATTCAATAGTATAGAAAATGAAAATGTCTCATGAACCAAATCGCCATAGTTCAACAACAGATGATAGTATGGGTTTCTAAAGAGATTAGATAACATGCCAAAATTACTAGTATTAATGATGTAAATAAGTTCGGGAAAATGACCTAACTTAAGGTCTTACATCATACCATAGGGGAAAATATTGGCAGCTTAGAAGTCTAATAAAGTACTTGAAAGGCAGGAATATTTTACAGACAAATTCTTCATAGAGCACGGATAATAAAGGCTATTCCTTAATCAAAAGAAAAGAAGTTCTAGGCATCTTCTAACGGCGATGGGAATCCCTTGGGTGAACCCTCAGATCTTCCATCTGCCAAACTACTTCTTAAAGGTGTTGTTCATGAGCCCTCTGGTGAACTCGAAGTTCTATTACTTCAGCTCGGGAGGTAGCCAGTTGTTTCTGCAAAGCCTCATTGGTCCTTCTGGTTCATTCCATTGCTTCTTTGAGATGGCGAATGTGGACCGTGTTGACACTAGGATTGGCATAAGTCTCCACTACTCGTCCGATGGTTGCTCGACCTTATACAACATTCTGAGTAATCCTGCGGACCATGATAGGTAGGGCTCGGTTAGCTGAGCCACCCTCACTTATGTTGTAAAAGCTTCGGTCCCCGTTGCAGGGTAAGGGTTAACCCTGCTCATCACTCCAACGATTCAAGTTTGTTTCCCACAAGGGTCTGGGACCTTGAAATGTGGGTCGAGGGTTGTTATTTGGGGCATGACCTACTTGAGGTAGGTTGTAGACTTCGGGCTCACAGTCAGATCCATCCGAGAAGCCTTTTGCGAGGTGGTCATCCAAAGGGATTGGATTTGGGAAGTACGAGTCTCCAGAGATATGAAATCCAGATATGTTATCTACGCGAGAAGTAGGGGTAAAAGAATCAGTTTAAGAGACGTACTAACTAAGATATTTATAGTAACACGAAATACTCCTATAGTATTTTTAAGTTATGTTTTGTTATAATGTTCTCATTGTAGTAGTGTTAGTAAGTTTTTAAACTTGTTGCCACATCACAAACATTCTTGGGCATATGCTAATCACTCTTCGGACCAGCATAGTTAATCAGGCTATGCCACTCCCAGGACTGACCATACATCCCCGAGCTTACTTGTGATATTCAACAATCGTAGTACTTTTGTATTTGTCATTGTGACGCTGATTTTAGTATAAATGTAGGTATGTATACTTAGTTAAATATTTTATTATTTAAAAGTATAAACTCTTAGTCAGGGTGTTTTAATCCCATTGTGTTTATAGTTAGTATATCTTTTATGGGTTGATATACTCAATTCACTATAAACAATGCTCTGATACCAATCTGTCACTCCCCAAAACTAAGAATGGCGGAAGCGTTCAGGGGCGGAGGACGTCATGTATAGTATTACAACACAGTAATAGTAAATCAGTAAACAAACATCATCCATTGCATTAAATATATAATTTTAATACATGTGTGTTCTTTGTAAATGTCAAAAGTAAATAATATTATGAAATATTATGTGATTTGAGTATTAAGTTGTAACAGTTACTTTTTACTAAAAATGAAGTAAAACTATGGTTAGAATCAATCAGAAAATATTGGAAGTCTTATGAGATTCCAATCAAAAGACAAATATCGAAATTTAATGAAAATATAAAATCTTAAATAAGTAAAATTTTCTTATTGAAAGTTGTAAAGAATCTCGTTAGAAACATTTAAGGGAAAACCTCGTCGAAATCTGAGTTATAACAAAGAAGTTATGACGAATCGAAGATCCAAGACAAAACCGACATGACGTCAAATGACGTAAAAAGTGAGTTTTCGATAAACTACATTTTAGCCTAGGTGATCTAAATGAAAGTCGTAGTATTTGTTAAATCGAAAATTTTCATACAAAGAACGTCAAAATCTGACTTCGTATGAAGAAGTTATGATTTTTCTAAATTTCGGAATAGCAGTAGACAACTAAAAACTCGAAATAAAGATCGAGTGATTTTAGCCGACACAATCTAAATGAGAATCGAAGGTCTCGTCAATAGTAGTACAATGGTAAAAAGACTAACGAAAATGGACGTCGGATGTAGAAGTTATGAATTTTTAACGGATTTTCCTGTCCCGGTCTGTTAAAAATAATAATATTAAAAATAAAGTCAAAATTAGCCGACGGAGTCTAAACAAAAGTTGTAGAGCATAATTTTACATATGCGTGCATATAAAGAATGTCAAAAATGGAGTCGACGGAGTCTAAACGAAAGTTGTAGAGCATAATCGTCGTCCGAAGCACGGTGGAATTGGCGTCCGACGCGTGCCCTCCTTGAATGTCCAAGGCTCGCACCCGCCACCTACCTCCCTCGCATCCGCGCCATCTGGAGCCCCTCGTTGTTGTTGCGTGTTCCCTTTCATCCGTACTAACTAAGATATTTATAATAACACGAAATAATCCTATAGTATTTTTAAGTTATGTTTTGTTCTAAAATTCTCATTGGAGTAGTGTTGATAAGTTTTTAGACTTGTTGACACATCACAACCATTCTTGGGCATATGCTAATCAATCCTCGGACATGCATAGTTGATCAACCCATGCCACTCCCGGGACTGACCATACATCCCTGAGCTTACTTGTGATATTCAACAATCGTAATACTTTTGTATTTGTCATTGTGACACTGATTTTAGTATGAATGCAGGTATGTATACTTAGTTAAATATTTTATTATTTAAAAGTATAAACTCTTGGTCAGAGTGTTTTAATGCCAATGTGTTTATAGTTAGTATATCTTTTATGGGTTGATATACTCAATTCACTATAAACAATGCTCTGATACCAATCTGTCGCACCTCAAAACCGAGAACGGCGGAAAAGTTCTAAGGGTGGAGGTCGTCATATATAGTATCACAACATAGTAATAGTAAACAAATAAACAAACATAACTACTAGAAAAATAGCCTTTTACGACGCTCATTGCGCATCGTAAAAGGCTCAGACGATGCGCAAATGTGCGTCAAGGAAGGCCCTGTCATGAAGAGAGACGACGTGCTTTTGCGCGTCGTCTATAGAGGACGCGCATTTATGACGTGCAATTATGACGTGCGTTTACAACACGCAATGCGTAACAAGGAAGGCCCTATCATAAAGGAAGACGACATGCATTCACGTGTCGTAACCTTACGACGCGCGTGTTAATGACACGCAATGCGTATCATTAAAACCCCTGTCAAGAAAGGTCATGTCATAAATGAAGATGACACACATTTTTGCGTATTGTAAATTTAAATGTTTTAAAAAAATATTTATTTATATATTTATTTTTAAATTAAATTTGCTTTTACTGTCTCATAATAGAAATAAAATACCATATAAAAAATATAATCCATTGCATAAAACTTAATGTCATACAATTCTATTTCTTACAATAAATAAATTTGCATTCATCTAATCTACTCTGTGTTTCATACTAACAATTGAAATGAAGAATGAAACACTTGCGCGCATTTGCAGCATCTTATCTCTTTCAGCTTGAGCTTTCTTTTCCTCGTCTAACTCCAGAGCTATTCGTTTTCATCAACCCTGTAAACACAACACAAAATCACTTGTCATTTTCATTCTACTTTAGAAATGTCAACAGTGAAGTTAATGGATTCTGAAGAAGAAAACTTTGTTCCAATAAATTTAGCAACTTCACTGAACTTTTCTGCACTTGGGAACTTCAGAACAGATGGTCTAAACCCACGTATATCAAAATTTAATTTCATCATAATGTAAGGAGCTGCAACATGAATTAACTTCATTTTACTTTATGTCACAAAAATGAGGAGGGAGGATAGGTTGTTCACCCAAATTCATGGCAAGACAGCTGGTCAAAAGGAAATCCGAGAAAGTATTCATGATGAACAGATGCTTGATCTTCCGCAGGTCCATGCAAACTAACTTCATTGGTCACTTTCAAATGGCCTAGATCAATTTCCAAGAAACTGCATCCATGAAAGAAACACCGAGAAACCATTTTCAAAAGATGCTTATGCAAAGAACCTTTAATAAGTAATTATAGCATCCCCATACAAACAACTAACTGAATGAGAATGACACTTTTAAAACAAGTGCCATTGGTGCTATTGAAACACTCTTCTGGACAATATTATAGTAGAAACTATATACATATCCTTATCTATTTATAGTAGAAACTATATACAACACCAGCCACTCCAGTTCTCTCCTTTGTCACTCACTGTCAAATTAACATGATAACTTTTGATTTACCAAAACACAATCACTAAACCCTGGCCAAAAAAGTTAATAATAGAAGAACATACAAAAAAGGGCTATTCCATTCCTTCATACTAAATAATACCTTAAAATCTTTCTATATTAGCTTTGTTTGATATTCATATAGTGAAGGTCGACTCATCTGAGGAATCCAGAAAATGTGGAAGATTCATGATGGTAGTTTTAAGTTGACACTTGTTAAGAATAATGACGAAGGACCACTGAAGCTAACATGTGCCCCATACTACGTGATGATGGATCCCTACATATTCAAGCACATGAGATGAGATGCAATCAACATATTTAAGTTATAAATAAATAAATAAAATAAAAAACTTACCCACTAGCACAGATTATAGGAAACAGTCTTAACAGCAACTGTAAAGGCAACGACATGGAAGAACTCAAAGCCGAAGGCAAATCCCATAACCCCGGACTCTCACCTATGATCCCGTCTTGCCAATCCCGGACTCCCGCCTCTAATTCCCTTCCTTGTATTCGCTTTACTGACCGGACCCTCAACTCTAGAAACAACCATTCCAATTGTAACCCCACTTATTTGTTGCTCAATCTCATGCATCTGCTTAATCAAATCACTGGCAAACGTAACCCCTGCGATTTTCCTCCCTCTCACTATCACTAAAAGATGTTTTTGTCCCTTGAAAATGAACACCTGCAAAAACAAAATATGTCAATTTTGTAGATTTTTCTACAATATTGTAATAGGAAATTTGATGGAACCCACAAATGGAGAATGAATGTAAACTGTTGAACCAATTTCTCAATAGATTCATCTGTTCCAGGAATCATACTTGTACTCCGAGATAGACCCTCCATTTCTGCAAAACCTGCAGCCAGACTCTGCACACATTAACACAACACATTTTTTTATTTTTAAATATTGTTATTTAAAAAAAAGTAAACATTTCACCTAAAAAATTATACTATAAGGATAAAAAACCAAAACGTGGATGTTGTAACCCTTTCTGGATATAACTATGGTGACCAGGTTGAGAACTCCAGGAGCATTATTTACAAGAATGTTCACAGTGTGAGACTTATGACCAGTTAACTGTTTTATTAATATTAAATTTGAGTTATATACATCCCATAAACTATTTGCTAAATAATGATTGATAAGACATTAATGAAAAATGAGAAATTGACGCATATCTTACATCTTCTTCATAAAGCACACCCCAATGGGGGTCAAGGACTTGATTCATTGAGAACCTATTCTAGTACTCCATAGGATAAACATCTCCCTCCATAGGATAAACATCTCCCTACACTCAAGTTCTCATCAACCGTGTGACTTATATTTGAGGCAGTAGGAATTGGAGCTGGGGCTTCCAGATCTAGATACGAAGCAGCATGGAAGTTCCAAAATGGAGTAGTTTCACCTAAATTTTCATCTTCTTAAAGCAATCTACAATTTGCAGCATACCAGTGGACTAGTGAAGCTTTTTAGTGCTAATTTTTTATGATAAACAAGAGATTGAGAGTGGTTTTTTTGTCCCATTTGACTTGAAAATAAAAGGTACCTGTATTCTTGAGGGACTTTTGACTTCAAGGTTTGTAGATGCAATGGAGGTGAAAGTAGAAAAAGGGGTGGAGAATGCGATGGAATTATCGATGGTAAGGGTGGTGGTAGAGATTTGTTGACAAATCTTGTCAACTGTAACGCTCGTGTTTCTAGGCTAGGCATTAATATTGACATAATGGTCTAGGTTAACCTTTGTAACTCATTTAGAAGAAATAAAAAGGGATTATGTGAATTTTATGTGAATTATGTGTTTTATGCTTAATTCTTAGGGTTTATTTAATTAAGAATAAAAATAAGCGTCAAAATTAAAGTTTTAGATAAGATCGATATCTTTACATAAATTTATAGTGCTCGAAACAAGGATTTCTGGGATATAAAGAATGCTGAAATCCGAGTTATAACGAGAAGTTATGCCCTGTTGAAGTTTCGCGATAAACCGACACGGTGCTGAGTGTCGTAAAAAGTGAGTTTTTGATAAACTACTTTTTAGCCTTAGTAATCTAAATGAAAGTTGTAGTATTCGTTAAACCAAAAAGTTCTATAAAAAGAACGCCCAAATCTGACTTCGTGTGAAGAAGTTATGATTTTTCGAAGTTTCAGCTTAACAGTAGACAGCTAAAAACTCAAATTTTAGATCAAGCGATTTTTAGCTGACACAACCTAAACGAGAATTGAAGGCCTCGTCGTTAGGAGCACAACGGTAAAAAGTCTGACGAAAACGGACGTCGGATGAAGAAGTTATGAATTTTTAACGGATTTCCTGTCCCGGTCTGTTAAAAATAATAATATAAAATTTAACGTCAAAATTAGCCGACGAAGTCTAAACGGAAGTTGTAGAGTGTAATTCTAGCTACGCGTGCATATAAAGAACATCAAAAACAGAGCTCGTATGCGAAAGTTATTGTTTTTAGAAGTTATGGCGCGAAAATCGAGAAAATTCGCATAGTCATGAGTTGCCACGTCGCCCTCGCTGAAAAAGTGCCACGTGTCCTGCTGAGTCACTCTTGCATGAACAGTAGCCACTTGATCGTCGCATGCAACCCACTTGATTCGACCCGCATGTCGCTTGCTGATTGGACCGAGGGTGCGGTCCAATGATCTTCCGACGCCTCGCTTCTTACTCATCATCCGAGCCTCGCTGGCCCAATCCGAAGGCGCCGCGTGCCCTTCGTGTGTCCGAAGCTCGCACCCGCCACCTGTCCTCGCCTCCGCGGATGCCACATGCCCTCGCTGACTCTTCCCTCTCGGCCAGACCCTCGCAGCTCTCCCCTATAAATAGTGGCCTTGCGAGATCTTCCGGTTACTTTTGGAAAATGACCATTTTTCACCTCTTTTTCAATATTTTAGCCATTTTCGCTTCCCCCGATGCCCCGAGATCATTTCCAACGCCCGGAACACGTCCCGGAGTGCCCGAAGGCCCGGAAAATTTATGTTTTCGGTTTTGAATCCCGACCTTTCGCAGAGCCCGGTTTCTTAATAAAACTCCCGGTTTTATTAAAAAACGATCGTTTTAGGAAACGAATTGCTGCCCGATTATTATCAAATCAAGTGAGTG